GGGATTGCGATCATGGTTGGTGAGTTGACTTTTGACGGGCTGGCTACTTTGCCCGCCTTACTTCTTTTGTGTCATGTAGACACTAGTTAATTCCTTACTTTTCAAGGACAGACCAGGCTTTTCCCGGGGCACTCGTGTTTGCCCTAAGCTAAGAAATTTTATGGCCCGCTTCTGCCTCTAGCGTTAATGGGGGTTTATAAAAAAAAGGAATTTTTGCTGTCCCTTCACAGCAACTAGACAGATTGGCACTGTGGCTGGAGCAATGGGCTAGAAGATGGCAGGGATGGGAGGATGGTGCAGGATAGGGAATGGTTCATGTCTCCTGTACATGCGGCCGCTAGGGGTTATGCTCAACTGGACAGCACCTAACCATAGCATTCAGTCTGTATAATAAAGAAGTAATACAAGAAGGCACACTATAAACAGAAGAGTATGGCATAAGGATAGGCCAACAGCATACAATACATAGATACCACAACTTGGCTTCTGAAATGAAGACAATTTAAAGCACTTACTGATGAAATGCGAAGAATAGAGCCTACAGTATGGATTACTCCTCAACATCAAGAAAAGCAGTCTTCACAGCTAGACCAAGAGGCAGCATCATGATAAATGGAGAGAAGATTAGAGTTGCCAAAGATTTCATTTTACTTTGTGTCCACTTTCAATACCCATGGAGCCAGTAGTCCAGAAATCTAATTGGGGGAGGACGGATGGAAAGACATCTAACGAGAAATTGGGCAATTCTTCAAAAGACATTTTTAAAGTGCTGGAGACTCAAGTCGTGGCATTTTGAATTGCTCCATTTTCATGGGAAAGGAAAAATTTTCATAAATAAAATCTTGGTGAAGAAGATTGAACATACCATGAACTGCCAAAAGAACAAACAACTCTATCTTAGAAGGGCTGCCCAGTTTGCTCCTTGAAGATCAAGTTTATTTCTCAGACTTTGGGCACACTCTTAGGAGAACCAGTCCATAATGAAGTAATTCTTCCTTTATCAAGTCTGGTAAAGGAGAAAGCGTCTGTGAAGAAGAAGACTCTTGTTTAGTTGGCTAAATTGGCATAGTGGTTGCAACAATAAGTTTGATCATAGTCGCTGTTAGCAGGATGGCACAGGATGATACATTGTTTCATGCTGTTGTACACAGAGTCTTTGTGAATCAGAACTCACTCAACAGCAGCTTGTTAATAACCACAGTTTACAGATAAATTACCCACATATTGTATGTAACTTTCCTAGAGTTATTCCATAGGAATCTGAGATTTCAGAGCAATATGAATTTCAGCCTTGACCTGAGCTGTGGATCCTATCTTCATACAGGAATTCTGATGAGAAGAAAATACTCACTTAAATTATCCTGTGTGTGCCCAACTAGAACTCAACACATTCAAGAGAGCCTGTGTTCCCTTTTGATTAGCAATTTAAGCCTTGAATTTGACCAATGAGGACACTGAACTGGACAGACTGGCCCAAGGTCACAACGTACTGACAAATCAGGGCTCTAGGGCAATTTGGGTGTGAAGCCCAAATACTGGCTATCAAATTATGGGGCAGAGGTCACTGTGTGCTCACAGTGTAAACACGTTCCCCTTTTCTCTGGCAGCACCAAGTAGATTGTGACCCTGGCATTCATTGTCATCATTTTTAACTCCTTCCAAGAGCCAGATTGAAGAAGCAAAAGTCTAAGCTGTAGGCTACCTATGTAGGGGGTCACTGTTTTCACACCGGTGAGGTTAACACTCAGTCACTGTCAGTGACAACACTCGGTGCCTATCGAATTGGGTGAACACTGGCAGCACATGAAAAACAGCAATGACGAATGGATCTCTTCGTGTTGACATTCCAGTGGATGGAAGGTTTGTCGGCATAGACAAGAAACAGGGACCGCTTTTCACGCATATCTCCTCATCCAGGATCAGACATAGTCCCTGCTGCTCTATGGTGAGATTTCAGCAATTCCATCATGGAACTTGAACTTCATGCAAGATGGTGCCTCAGGAATCAGCTGAGGTCGTAGGCAGAATCAGCCTATTGATAGTCTTGCCTGGCTCTAGAAAGCTAAGCTCCCTCTAGCCCACAGCCACTCTTTCTTTCCAGGCATGCCACCTTGGAATCTTCTGTCTTGGTTGATGGAGGCTCTGGATTTTCCACCCTGCTCTGGCCCACTCTTTATCTTATAAGTGGTGGCTGGAAATGACCAAATCTCACAATGAGGACAGATGCACTGAAATTCACACAGCAAAGGAGAGGCAAAGTGGAGACCAGACGCACCTCAGGATTCCCATGGGCCTCAGGCAGGTGTAGACATCAAGCAAAGGTTAATGCACCATATGGATATGGAGAAATGAAGACCTCTTGGGTCCTCCAGAGGAAAATTGCTTCTTGAAAAAAGGTTAGCCCATATCTGGTGTTATTTCTGAGTCAAGATTCCACAATACACACTGGGTCTGTCCATTAATCATTACCTTCACAAAGAAGCAGTAGGTGGAGCTGAGAGGACATCGTCTATTTCAATCTGTAAGAGCTGTTTAAGCTTTGAACTCATCCTGGGCCCCCGAGCACAAGCAGTGCCAAGAGCCATACAACGACTAGCTATCGTGAGTAACATTTTTTTCTGGGGCCCTTCTTTCATGCCTAAAGTCACAGTGAAGACCCAGGAAAGGGTTCCCAGCTGTCCTGCTTTGCTCAGGACTCAGGGGGGTCCTGGGACACGGGATTCTGTTTTAGAGCCAGGAGGGGCTTGGGTACTAGAACAAGTTGGTCACTGTACCTAAACGTTAAGGATAGGAAGTCACCTCTGCATGACATCAACTGATAGAACACTATGTAGCGGAGGGGGCTGGGTTGACCAAAGAAATGACCCCTTTTCTGCTATGCAATCACTGCAGTTGCTATTTGGAAAGTAAGAGTAGAGAGAGTGGTTAGTAACCTACCACCATGGTCACCTTTGACTCACTTCCTGTTTTCACAGTTGAGAAACAAAGAATGCTTTTTAGGCTTGATTTTTTTTTTTTTTATAGTTGTGGGGGAGAATCCAAGAAAGATCTGTGTTTTCAAACATAAAAATAAGTTGTGAAGTTTAAATGTAAGCATTTACAAATTGTTTGAGGCACAGGCACAGCACCCCCCGCCCCCCCCCCCACCCCGTGTCCCTTCATGCCTGTAGCCACTATAGCAAGCTGGTTGAGAAGTTGTGATGGAAGCTTAACAGCTTCCCTGACCCTCACGAGGCAAACTTGGTGGCGCTGGGTGAGGGAGGATGGGGTCTTGGATCAGGACCTGATCCTGTGTCATTGGGCAAGACATTTCTTGAATAATGGTGACTTCCTCTTTGCAAAGTGATAACAGGAACACCAGGTCTACTGACCTCTCCATGAGCATGGGAGTCAAATAGAAGCAGATGGAAGTCCACTAACGTCACTAAAGGGATTTGTGCTGAGGGCAGATCAGATAAACGAAAACCTACACATGCACATATTAGGTAAAATGTTCCTTGTAGTGATAAATTATTAGGAAAATGTGTATGAAATGGTATTATTGAAATGCTTTATATGTGGTTTATATTTATACATTCTGGTGGCCTAATGGTAAAAAAGATGCACTGCTATTTCAAAGGCACGCAGTTCAAATCCACCAGCTGCTCCATGGGAGAAGGATGGACAATCTCCTCTTGTGCAATTAACAACCTCTGAAAATATGCTGGAGGGTGAGCTGTGGGTTGGTTTCGACTCAATGGTACTCAATAACTCCACAACAGTACATACTTTACACTAAATAGCTTGTAATGGCTAAGAAGTTGTGTTTTAGAAGATCTACGTGACATGGTGACTGCCACAGTGCGCTCTTGTTTGTCAGGAAGTGTGAGGATGGCATAGGAGAAAGCAGGGTTCAGATCTTTTTTTTAAATTTTTATTTATTTCTTTTTATGTGTGTACCGTCAAATTGGATCTGACTGGTACAGGAGGCGATTGTTCCTCCCTCTTCAGCAGAGCATCTGGTGAGGGTTCAGATCTTTTGTTCATAGGGTCACTCTGAGTTGTACTCAACTCTGTGGCACATAACAACAACAATGAGATGGGAAATACAGTATATTGAGATTAAGGTTTGGATTGCAGAAATAAAATCAATACAAATTTTGTAAGAAAAAGTCTAGATATAGAGGAAAAGAAAATGTTAACATAGTCACTAACACATCAATAATTCTTTTTTGGAAGTTGGATAGATACACAGATTTCCTTTTCTTTGTAGTTTTCCATATTTAGGATTTTTTTTATAGTGAACAAGTATTTATCATTATAAATCTTCATTTTTAAATCCAAAGGCACTGTCTACCTTTCTCATGTAGAGCAGCTGGTGGATTTGAAGCAACACACATACAGTTGTATGTCACCGGGGCTCCTTAGAAGATACCGGGTCTCCTTAGAAGATACTGGGCATATTAAAAAAAGGAGGGGGGAGGGGGATAGGAAGATAAAGGAAAGGGGAGTAGAGAGAATGAAAGAGATTTGTAAACCATCAAGGATACCATGAGCTTTTCTAGAGTCATTATTAAAACATCCTAGGTGTATTGTCATTGGTGAGCTAAATGAACTCACAAGACCCATACTAGTAACTACACTGCTAAGTGAAGTTTTGCCGAAGTTCTATGGGCCTGTGAACTTTGGCTAGTTAGGGGACCTTGGTCCTATCACCTTGGAGGACCTTAGAGCCCCTGAACTCTCTCAAATGAGAGCAGAGTACAGAGGGTGTGGAGCTCGCAGAGGTGAGAGCCCCCACCTATTCTGGAGTCCCTACAGCAGCACTGTGAAATGTGCACTTGTCAACCACACATGGAGGTATTGCTGCCTGCTGGCGTGTGCTCAGCAAGCTGCTCTGCAAGAGTGCGTCGTGACACTTCCCATCTCTGGGGACCTTCTCCTGCCCGTCTTGTTTGTAAGGTAAGATTGTTCTGTAGGAAAATCCCCTGGGCACGCTCTTTCCTCCCGTAGACTTGAGAGTGATGAAGATGCATCTCGCTGTCCATCTGCTGCTCCTGCTGCCTGCACTGCTGGTCCTTTCTCAGGAGCAGATGCACCCTCAGCCGGATAAGGGCAATTTAACCCAGAGCTCCAACCAAGAGACTCTGGCCACCGATGAGGACTCTGCCAGCCTCAAGATTGTTCCCGGTAACACAGACTTTGCCCTCCGCCTTTACCACCTGTTGGCCTCCGAGTCTCCTGGCAAGAACATCTTCTTCTCTCCAATAAGCATCTCCGCTGCCCTCGCCATGCTCTCCCTGGGAACGCGTGCTGACACCCAGACGGAGCTCCTGCAGGTCCTGGGCTTCAACCTCACCGAGATACCGGAATCCAGCATCCACCAGGGCTTCCAGCACCTCTTGCACACTCTCAATCTTGCCAGCGACACGCTGGAGACACGCATGGGAAGTGCCCTGTTCCTGAGCAAAAATCTGAGTCCCCTTCAGACGTTCCTTAATGACACTATGCTCTTCTACAAGTCTCAACTTTTCCACACCAACTTCTTTGACCAAGTGGGTGCAGCTAAGCTTATCAATGACCATGTCAAGAAGGAAACACAGGGGAAGATTGAAAATTTAGTCAGCGAGCTCAGCCAGGAAACTATGATTGTCCTGGTGAACTTCATCTACTTTAAAGGTAAGAGGCAAAGTTGTTTGCTGTGCTTTTCGAGATTGTTAAGCACTGTCAAGTCAACTTGAAATCAGTAAGTCTTTGGACAACCCACTGGACATTTTCCCCATGCAAACCTCACATCTGCTGTTTTTAAGCAGTTGCACTCACTGTGGCTATCTATCTCATTGAGGGATTTTTTCTTCTTTACTAAGCTCTATTTTTGAATCATTAAGTTCTTCACTGAGGACTGGATTTTCCTGACAACAAGCTCAAAACATATGAGGCAGTTTCATCATCCTCACTACTACTACTACTGCTACTGCTACTGCTACTGCTACTGCTACTGCTACTGCTACTGCTACTGCTACTGCTTCTTCTGCTTCTTCTTCTTATTCTCCTCCTCCTCCTTCTCCTCTTCTTCCTCTTCCTCCTCCTCCTCCTCCTCCTCTTTCTTCTTCTTCTTTAAGCATTTATATTTCTCAAATGTTAGAAAAGCATTGACAAGGGATACAAATTCAAGATTAATATCCAACATTGATTTGCATTAACTGTATCTAAAAACTTATTTAAGGTAAACTTTCATATCTTAAATTGTATATTGCAGGGAGCGCTGCTGGCCTAGTGGCAAGGAGCTGCAACTACAATCCCAGAGGTGCATGGTTCTAATCCACCAGATGCTTTGCCGGGAAAGGAGGGACAATCTCCTCCTGTACCAGTCAGATCTGATTTGATAGTACACTCACACAAAAATAATTTTAAAAAATTTTTAAAAAATTGTATATTGCATATCACATGGCCTCTTCAAAGTTTGCTGAAATCTTTTACATCTCCTTTTATTGTGATGTGAGTGAAAGTGTACAATACATATTTGTTGATTTTTTTCCCAATCATTCATTAATTTTTTTGTTCATGATTTTTTCCCATTCATTCATAGCTGCATTTTTCTCCCTCCCCACCCCTGCCCACCCCTGCCCACCCAATTCACCCTTCTCTTTGAAAAGTAAAAGAAAAATTCTTTCATTGTTATATAATCCCTCCCCCCAAGTCCATACACTGTGGAGCCTTCATTCTGAACTCCTGTAATGATAATAATACCTAATTGTACATCACTCTTAAATAGTTCCCTCATCTGTTCTACGGAGCATCCTGACTGCCCTTCCTCCAGGTTAATTTGTTTGGTTTTGGCCAATTCACAATATATTCAATACTCTATGCCAACAGTACAGTTCAAAGACATCAGTTTTTCTTTGGTGTTCTTTACTCTTTGTCAACTTGTATATGCATATGAAACAACTGAAAACACATGGGCTGAATGCACCATCGTCTTTACACTGGCATCCTTGCTTGTTAGTACTTTAAAGAATTTTGTGGCAATGGATTTGCTCAATTCACCTTTGCATTTATTGGCTGCTGCTTCTGTGAATGTTGATTGTGGATCTGAGTGAAAGCAAATAGTGGTAACTTCAATGATTTCTCCACTTAAAATGATCTTGCCCGTTGTCCCAGCCATGAAGACTTTTTTGCTTTCTTTGAGTTGAGGTATAATCTATACTGAAGGATGTAGTTTTTTACCTTATCCAGTAAGTACTATGCAGATAGGTCCTACACTGTCCCTTTGACCCTTATAATTTGCTGTTTTAAATCTCTTTCATTCCTATTGAATCACAAGCAACTCATAGCTGACTGTCCAGAGAGTCTAATGCTATAAATCACACAAGAGGAGACTGCTCCTCTCTATCCAGTGGATTCAAATGACCTACCTTTAAGTTAGTGAGCTCTGGTGGCCTAGTGGTAAAAAATTGTGCTGCAACCTCAATGGCACATGGTTCAAATCCACAGGAGAAGGATGGGCAATCTCTTCTCGTGTGATTCACTACCTCTGAAAATCTGCTGGAGAGTCACCTTTGGGTCAGTTCTGACTCAACGACACATAGCCACTACATTTGGGTTGACAGCATAACTCCTTCCCCACTAGGTGTAGAACATTAAAGAAGTGAAACATGTATAGTGTGGGTTTGGTCTAGAAACCTTCGGTCTGGTGTGAAGACAGACTGATTTGCTATTAGAGTAACAATCTAAACTGTCAGTTTGTCAGTTTGTTGTATTTGGGGAGACTATTGTTGTAACTGGTACAGCACTTGTCTGCCAGTTGGCTGTACTGAGATAACTTCATTTTGCTGTACTAAGATAACTTGGGTTTGCTGTGATACTGAAAGCTATCCCATTGGTGTGTCAAATGCCACAGTGGTTACCCATGGTGGACAGGTTTTAGTAGAGCTCCTAGATTAAGACAGCCTAGGAAGCAGGACTGGCCATCTAGTTCTTAAATAACAAGCTTCTGAAAACCCTATGAACAATAGAGGAATAAGGATAGTTATAGTAATAGTAGTAGAGCCCAGACTGGAAGTAAATTGAAATGAGAAAAAATGATGGCAAACATTCTTTAATAATTAGAACATGGAATGTACATAGGTTGAACATTGAAAACTAGAAGTTGTGAAATGAAGCACACGAACATCAACATTTTAGGTACTAGTGAGATGAGATGGACTAGCTTTGGCCACTTTGAATCAAATAATTGTAAACTATATGTTTTATGCTAAGAATGAAAAACAGAAGAAGAATGGTATTGCATTCATAGTCAAAGTCAATTTTAAGTTATATCCTGAAATACATTATTGTCAGTAATAGGATATTATCCATGCACAACAGGTAAGACCTGTATTACAACTATTATTAAAATATCTGCTCCTACATCTAGGACCAAAGAGAAAGAAACGGACTTTTTTTTTACCACATCTTGCAGTCCAATATTTAGTAAACATGCAATCAAGATGCTTTAATGATAATTGGTAACTGGAATGCAAAAGTTAGAAACCATGAAGCGGGAATACTAGTCACAAAATATGGGCTTGGTTATAGAAATGAGACTGGAAATAGAATGATCTAATTTTGTATTTTCAGTTATTTGTTCATTGCTGTGGTTGTTAAGTTGTTAAGTACTGTGGAGTCAGAGATGATCCTATGAACAAAAGACCTGAACTCTTGTATAACTTTCATTATTGTTTCTCTAAGTTCATAGAGTTTCTGGAGGCAAACTATTTAGGGAATGGATGCCACTCCTGCTTCCAAGCCTGTTTTAATCGGGGAGCTCCACCAAATACTGTCCCCATTAGTAACTATTATCAGTACCACAGTGTTTAGCATCACAGGAACCACAAGGTACCTCTGTACAGGAAATGGACAGACCAGTGCTATACCCCTTAGAAGAATGTTTGACCAAAAATAAAACCAGGCCTGAGGGCCATAGATTAAAATCACCCACCTTTGGCTTGGTAGCATCACTTTCTATCTGCTAGGCTAATAGAGCTCTCGCTCTGACTCACAGCAATTCTATGAGCAACAGGTCGAACCCTTGTCCCATTCTATGCCATCCCCACAATCTGAGATACGCTTGAGCCCATTGTTACAGTCACAGTATCAGACCATTGTGTTGAGGATCTTCTTTTTTTCTCTGACTTTCCACTTCTCTCAGCACGATGTCATTTTGCAAGGTTGGAACCTTAACTGTTGTTTGTTGTTGTTAAGTGCCTTCAAGTTGTAGATGACTCATAATGACTCTATGAACAAAAGACCTGAATACTTGTGTCACTTTGATTGTTTTTTCTAAGTTCATAGAGTTTCCAGAGGCTTGTTGTTTAGGAAGTGGATGCCACTTGCACAGGAATATTTGATGGTCTGACCCACTGTCTGCTCCAGGACTAGTTTTTATTACTGATACTGAGTTTATTGAACAGTATCTTATAACAGATGTAGTCAATCTGATTCCTGCAGCCTGTTAGGTGAGGTCCATGTGTAAAAGTTGCCATTTGGTTTTGTTTTTTTTTTTTAAAAAAAGGTATTTGCAATGAATAAGAGGTGACTGGTGGTTGCTTCAATGCTAAACACTGTGACACTGATGTGTCAAATGCAATAGTGGTTACCCACAGTGGACAGTGTTAGGTGAAGCTCCCTGATTAAAACAGGCTTGGAAGCAGTAGTGGCATCCTCTTCAGAAATAGTTTGCCTCTGGAAACTTCAATAAATGTCAATAGCTGTAAAGGGGTTTCAGGCCTTTTTGTTCATAGGGTTGCTATGAGTCATGCTGGATTTGAAAGCAATAAAGATACGGCCAAGCACAATCAATAAGAGTGCATCTAAATTCCAAAATCAATCTCCATAATAGTCTATGTGTTTCCTACTGCCAAAGGGGCCCTTTAGAGTAGTGAGAGAAGATCTTCACCCTGAAACCCACAGCATCCTTTTTCAGCAGGAAGTAGCTAAGAGAATATGCCATCCCCTTTCCCTTATGACTCAGGGTGAAGTCTCTCTCAGGGAGGAGTGATAGGGAATGGCAAAGGACACACTGACAAAGAAGATTAATCAGAACTGGCTTTGACAAGCACTGTGGCATTTGGACAAGAACAAACTGGGAGGAGGGTAGAGAGAATAGTGCAACAATGAATGAATGGAAACCCAAAATCTCTGTAAATGTTTATGAAAATTAATAAAATATAATTATAGGGGAAAAAAGAAAGAAAGCAATAAAGAGAAGAAGCTCAAAAAGAGGCTGAAGAAAATTAAAACAAGTCCTTGAGAACCAAAATGTTGTCTTGAATCTCTTCCATCTGAATTTGAAAATCATCTTAAGAATTGTTTTGAAGCATTGAACACCAATGATCAAAGATTAGATGAGTTGTGGGGTGATATAAAGGATATCATCCAGGAAGAATGGAAAGGTCATTGCAAAGACAGAGAAGAAAGAAGAAAAAGCTAAAATGGATGTCAAAAGAGACTCTGAAAATTGCACTAGACCATTGAGAAGCCAAAACAAAGGAAAACATGCAGAAGTAAAAGAGTTAAACTGACAATTTCAAAAGGCAGCCCAAGAAGACAAAACAAACTGTTATAATGGAATATGAAGAGAGCTGGAATTGGAGCATAAAAAGTGAAGAACTCACTCTACATTTCTCAAGCTGAGAGAC